CAGACAAAGGTTAACTCTTGAATCCCAGGCATCAGCCTGGGAATCCAGCATGGGACTGATCAAGACCCCCTGAATCTGGGTGTCAGTGAGGAGGCCTAGGTAATCTATTGAGCCTTGGACAGCAGATCAGTACCCATCCCAAGTATACACACGGTCTCTGGACTCCCATAGAACAATGTGAGGTGCACTCTCACCCTGAACTCTTGGGGAAGGGTCTAGGCCCTGCCCTATATGAAATGACAGACTATGGACACCCCCATGGAGGGCCTCACCCTCCCTGGGGGAAAGAGGGGATAACGGGGGGGGGATGGGGGGGAGGGCACGGGAGGAGGGGAGGGAAAGGGAGAGGGACCTCGTACTGACTTGTGAAGCAACCTTGTTTCTTATCTAAATTTAAAATGGAAAATAAAAAAATATTAATAATAAAAAAAAAGAAACTCAAAAAAAAATACTGGCAAATCGAATCAAAGAACACTTCAAAACAATCATTCACCACGATCAACTAGGTTTCATCCCAGGGATGCAGGGATGGTTCAACATAGGAAAACCCATCTAGGTAATCCACCATATAAACAAACTGAGAAACAAAAATCACATGATCATCTCACTAGATGCACAAAAAGCCTTTGACAAAATCCAACAGCCCTTCATGATTAAGGTCTTGGAGATATCTGGGATAACAGGAACATACCTAAACATAATAAAAGTTATTATAGAAAACCAACAGACAACATCAAACTAAATAGAGAGAAACTCAACACGATTCCGCTAAAATCAGGAACAAGACAAGGCTGTCCACTCTGTCCATACTTTTTCAATATTGTAATTGATGTTCTAGCTAGAGCAATATGACCACAAAAGGACCTCAAGCTGATACAAATTGGAAAGGAAGAGGTCAAACTTTCAGTATTTGCAGATGATATGATAGTTTACATAAGTGATCCAAAAAACTTTACCAGGTGACTCCTACAGCTGACAAATACTTTTATCAAAGTGGCAGGATATAAGATCAACTCAAGAAAATCAGTAGACCTACTTTATACAGATGATAAAAGGGCTGAAAAAGAAATCAGAGAAACATCACCCTTTACAATTGCCACAAACAACATAAAATACCTTGGGGTAACACTAACCAAAAAAGTGAGAGATCTGTATCACAAGAACTTTGAGTCTTTAAAGAAATAAATTAAAGAAGACACCAGAAAATGGAAAGATCTCCCATGCCCTTGGATAGGTAGGATCAATGTAGTAAAAATGGTAATCCTGCCAAAAGCAACATACTGATTCATTGCAAATACCAGCACAATTCTTCACCGACCTTGAATAACAATAATCAATTTTGTATAGAAAAACAATAGGTCCAGGATAGCCAAAACAACTTTATTCAACAAAGCAACTTCTGGAAGCATCACTGTTCCTGACTTCAAGCTCTATTATAGAGCTATAGTCCTGAAAACAGCTTGGTATTGGCACAAAAATAGACAGGTAAACAAATGGAATCAAATTGAACACCCTGATATTAACCCACACAACTACAAACACCTGATTTTTGACAAAGAAGCTAAAATTATACAATGGAAAAAAGAAAGCATCTTCAACAAATGGTGCTGGCATAACTGGAGGCTGGCATGTAGAAGAATGCGAATAGATCCATGTCTATCGCCATGCACAAAACTTAAGTCCAAATGGATCAAAGATCTCAACATAAATCCAGCCACATTGAACCTCTTAGAAGAGAAAGTGGGTGGTACCCTTGAAGGAATTGGTACAGGAGACTGCTTCCTGAACATAACACTAGTAGCACAGATGGTGAGGTCAACAATTAATACATGGGACCTCCTGAAACTGAGTATCTTCTATAAGGCAAAGGACACAGTCAAGAAGACAAAACGGCAGCCCACAAAATGGGAAAATATATTCCCTAACCCCACATCTGACAGAGGGCTGATCTCCAAAATTTACAAAGAATTCAAGAAGCAAGTCTCCAAAACACCAAAGGATCCAATTAAAAAGTGGGCTACAGAACTAAGTAGAGAATTCTCAAAAGAGGAGTCTGAAATGGCTGAGAAGCACTTGAGAAAGTGCTCACCATCCCTAGCCATCTGGGAAATGCAAATAAAAACAACCCTGAGATACCATCTTACTCCTGTCAGAATGGCTAAAATAAAAAACACCAATGACAGTTGATGCTTGAAAGGTTGTAGAGAAAGGGGAACACTCTTCCACTGCTGGTGGGAGTGCCACTTTGGAAATCAGTATGGAGATTCCTCAGAAAAATGGGAATAAGCCTACCATAAGACTCAGCAATTCCACTGTTAGGCATACATCCAAAAGATGCACATTCATACAACAAGGATGTCTGTTCCACTGTGTTCATAGCAGCATTATTTGTAATAGCCAGAACTTGGAAGCAACCTAGATGCCCCTCAATTGAAGAGAGGATAGAGAAATTGTGGTACATTTGCGCAATGCAATACTAGTCAGCAGAAAAAGAACCAATGTAATCCTGAAAATTGCAGGCAAATGGATGACACTAGAAGAAACCATCCTGAGTGAGGTAACCCAGTCACAAAAAGAGAAACATGGCATGTACTCTCTCATGTATGGATTTTAGACATAGATCTGGGGAGTGCCAGCCTAAAATCTCATGGCCATAGAGTCTGGGAAACAGAAACCTCATTCAGTGGCTGATGGAAGCAGAGGCAGACTCCCACAGCTAAACACTGAGCTGAACTCAAGGAACCCAGTGACAGAGAGGGAGGATTGATGAGCAAAGAGGTTAAGAGTGGGCTGGCTTAACCCCCAGAAACAGCTGACCTGACAAGTGTTAGCTCTTGAATCCCAGACTGATGGCTAGAAATCCAGCATGGGACTGATCAAGACCCCCTGAATGTGGGTGTCAGTGAGGAGGCCTAGGCAATCTATTGGGCCTTGGGTATTAGATCAGTATTAACCCTGTTACACAAATGGACTTTGGGTGCCCATCCAAAAATGAGAGATGCACTCTCACCCTGGACTCTTGAGGGAGGTTCTAGGCCCTGCTCTGGAAATGACAGACTATGGACACCCCCATGGAAGGCCTCACCCTTCCTGAGGAAATGAGGGGGTGTTGGGGTGTTGGTGGGAGGGCATGGGAGGAGGGGAGAGAAAGGGAGAGGGAACTGGGATTGACATGTGAAGCAGCCTTTTTTCTAATTTAAATTTAAAATTAAAAATAAAAATTAAAGAAAAATTTCTAATGACTCCTTCCTATGTTCTCTTTTGTACAAGGAATGTTCTATGCCACTCAGGATTCAGACATAAAATACTATGCTTCTGAGATGCCCACACATTGTAAAGTACATGATGTAGTCACCACTTCTGGACTGGAGATGACCATAAAAAGACTTGGATAGTCAACCCAGAAGTTGGGAGTGAGTTCCCTGGTTGTGGGACCTTGGTATTTGAAGAGGGTGTTGGCAATTTGGATTTGTGTTGCAGGGTCCTTACAGTTCCCTCAGAGAGGTGGTGGTAAGGTACAATGTCAATGGCACAGACACCAAGAGTAGGTAAAAGACAAGCAACAGACTCATTTATTCAGTAACGGGGAGCGCCTTATAAACCCTCCTTCCGGCTGGAGAGATGGCTCAGCGGTTAAGAGCATTGACTGCTCTTCCAAAGGTCCTGAGTTCAATTCCCAGCAACCACATGGTGGCTCACAACCATCTGTAGTGAAGTCTGGCACCCTATTCTGGCCTGCAGGCATGTGTGCCGGCATAACACTGCATATATAATCAATAAATAAATCTTTAGGGGGGAGGGCACGGGAGGAGGGGAGGGAAAGGGAGAGGGGCCTGGAACTGACTTGTGAAGCAACCTTGTTTCTTATCTAAATTGAAACTGGAAAATAAAATAAAAAAAAGAAAATAAAAATAAACCCTCCTTCCAGCACCCAGGCTGCATCCAGATCCATTGGCATTGCATGGTTTTCCATCACTGGCTACACATGATCAAGACCGCTGACAGTGCCTATTGCTAGGCCTTGGGCAGACTCCAAGTTGACTCATCTCTCAGTCTCCTATCCTTTATGTCCTACGGTTTCGGGTCCTTTATGATCCAGAAAGGTTTAAAACCCAGGACTCAGCACGTTGGAGGCAGGTTGCTCAGGAGTTGGTTTGTATCTCTGGGAATGAAAATGCTGTTGCATCAGAGAGCTAGTACCAACCACTGTCTGTCTACTCTAGGAGCCACCATCAACCTACACACCACCCTATAGCCACTGCTGAGACAACTGAGTGGGCTCAGCCAGAAGTTGCAAAGGCAGTGATGTCTACTGTTGCAGATCCTTCCATGGTATGGTTTTTAGTGAACAAATGCTTGTCCAAAGTGACAAAGGGCCACACTTTCTACGAATACACATGCAATGTAGCCCACATCCTGTAATGGAGGGCCAAGGGAACGCTTCTGATGTCACACACAAGTGAGAACTGCCACTGAGGCAACACGGACAGGAACTTCACTTAAACAGCTCCCACAGGTTTCCAATCTCCCTGTGACTCCCCTGTAGGAAGAGTCTCCTAGGGAGGACTACCAGAGAGCAAACAGGATCCAAAGAATCCTGTTCACTCTGTGACAAGCAGCATAAAAAGGGGAGGTGGTCTGGAACCGAGAGAGGCAAAAGCAAACACACACGTGCAGGAACCCTCAGGGGGGGGTCTTCACTGAGAACACTGTAAGACAGTATGAACTGAAGACACGTCATTGAGTAATAGGACTACACTTTTACTGACTGCTGTGTATTTTGATACTGAAATATTAAATATCTCTATGCTTTTGTTCCAGCAAATTCTTTTAAAAAAGGTGCTTCAAGAGCCAAGGTAATACACGACAAAACAGGGGAACGTTTTGAAGGTTTGGTGTTCCTTCTGAAATTTCGAGGTTTTTTCTAGCAGAGATGATATCACTGAACTCTTCTTCCCATTCTGAAGTGAGAACTCTGGGTTCTTACATCCTAGGAGATATTACATGCTTATTCTGAAGAAAAATGAACACAAAGCATAGAAAATAGCAAGAATAAAAGGAATTAGAGTAACAATTACATAATTATCAGATGAATCATTATTTTTCTTGGGTTTCCCTTCTTTTGGAGGTGAAGGTGGAGGGCCACTGTCAACACTCCCTCCACCACCGTTTGTAAGGCACTGTGGTGGGTCCCTCCCGAAGTTGCAGCAGCAGTGGTGTAAATTGTTGCAGACCCCTTTCATATTACATTTCTCTGGAGAACAATCACTTACCCACACTGACTTACTGACACACTTCCTATCAATGCACACATGCTCTGGACCACAGTCTGTGCCATCTTTCACATGGCCAATGTCAGGTATTGTCATCCCAAAATGGTAGTCAGTTCCCCAACAGGTGACACCATTGAGGTTAGTCCAGTGAACAGTGGAATGTCCTTCCAAAGTAGGGATAGCTTTCACATTCTCACACTGAACTCTCCCACAGAGGATGTCTGAGTCATTACATCTTAGGTATGTACTTCTGAAGAGACCACAGTTGCCAAAACGGTCACCTTGGGTGTTGATTTCCCTGTAGCATCTCAGAGCTACACTTCTGGCTTCTTTGCCAAAGATTTGCTGGCACTGTTCATCTCGCTTATTACATCTCTTTTCATAGCAGTATCCACCATCTTTACAGGAGCTCCCGTCAAGCAAGTAGACATCATTAGGGCACTCATGTGACTCTCCGTTACACCATTCTGGAAGGTCACATTCATTGTCAGCTTCTCTGCACAGTGTGCCTGATGGCATGATCTGGCAACCTTTGCAGCAAAGTCCAAAAGCACACGAAGCTCCACGTTGGAGCACGCAGCCCTCCATACAACACGGATCAGCTCTACATGCCTGCCAGGATCCAAAATCGCACTGGTATCCATCCTCTACTTCACCATTCCTGCAGAACTTGAATTTGAGCTTGCTTACCAGCTTCTTTTCCTTGAGCAGACAGTTGGTAGTAGCATAGGTTGTCTAAAATGCGGCGTAATTGCAGTTGCTGAGTTTGTTGACACCAGTGGCTCCTGGATCCCTTATGCATACAAAATGTTCACATTTACATGTGTACTCATCATGGTTCATACCCAAATTATAACCAATCCCATGTTCTGTAAGTTGTCCAAATTGATGAAGTTCAGAGTCTTCAAGACGATCAACTCCACAATTATTAGATTGCACACAAAGAGATCCAACATAAGCTAAGCCATTTTTGCACCAAAATCATGTTTCACGAAAAGATGTGCAACATCATTTTGAATAGGATAATTAAGGCTCATCCACTTCCTTTGTTTTTTTTTTGTTTTTTGTTTTTTTTGTTTTTACCAGACAGGGTTTCTCTGTATTGTTTTGGAGGCTGTCAGTCCAGCCTGGCCTCGAACTCACAGAGATCCGCCTGCCTCTGCCTCCTGAGTGCTGGGATTAAAGGCGTGGGCCACCACCACCCGGCGGGCTCATCCACTCCCAATAGCAACAATCCTTCACGAGGCAATCTATGGTAGTCATTTTCACTTGGTTTCCTGCATGCCACATCTCAACTCCAAATAGAACTACCTCAACATCCAGTGTAAGAAACACCTCATTTATTACATGCACAATGATCAATACTTCTACTAACACATGCGACAGATTGCCATTCAGATAACGAATTCGATCTTGGTCTACAACCAATGCCAGGTTAAGAGAATGCTTGTGGGTCCACCAACCCTTATAGCTGCTTTGCATCAGTTCTGCAGTTATCATTCTCTTGAAGCTTCATTTGCTGGCCTATCTTTCCTCTTCTGTTAGTGCGCACCTCATGGGGAGTAATTGTGACTCCTCACTGTCTATCTTGTGAACCAAATGTTCGAATGTGGAAGAAAGGTTCTTGGGCTTGATTTCATATACAGTCCCATTTATCTGTAATGTTCCTTGAAATCCCCCCAAACAGGTGGTAAGGGCAACCATGGACTCTGGGTCTCCATCTATATAGCCATGGTAGTAGCAATCCTTCTGAACAAAAGGCTGGTCCTTGTGTAGAGCACCTTGGTCAGTGTAGGTGAAAACAGAGAGGTGTCTAGACATGAAAACCTTTTTTACTTTCATGTAGGCAACATGCCTCTGACTCCCAAAGTTCAGGCTATATGTCAGCCATCTCATAGCCCACATTGTTCTGTTGCTTGTGACCCGAAACGGTCTCACTACTTCTGGGAGGCTGGTGTGTTGAGCATGCCAAGTCAAAGGCCATGTTGAATGAATGATCAACATCTCCAGCCAGAGGAGCAGATGGCTTATCCTTGTGTGCTTACGAGACTCACCCATTGCCACCTTGTCCCACAAGTCATCCAGGAGGATACCCTTTATCTTGGTTGCAAGCAGGGCTGACTCCTAATGGTCTGTCTTCTGGCTGAGTTGATGCATTAGAGCAGCAAGACTAAATGAAATAGGAAAAAGAAGGCAGACATAGGAGTAGCTTAGCTATACACAAGGCAAGGTAGAAGAGAAAGAGGCAGGTATGAGATTAAATGGATTAGGTATTGGTCTAAGGAAAGACTCCACATAGTTCATTTGATTTGCTGTTTAATTTTGTTGGAGTACAAACCATGAGTGTACATAAGAATTATTATTCACCTATGTTGATGTTTTCTGAACGCAGATAAAGAACTCTTAGATTTAACATGTTTATTAAATATAGAAGTTCACATACCTACAATAAATAGTTAAAGCAAAAGTTGTCAATAGATCAGGACCATTTATCATATTTCAACAAGCAGTACTGAGGTCTGTATTTCAACTTGGAATAAAGATAAAGGTGCTCTTTCAATTTCCAACAATAAATTGTTGTGTAACTTTATTCAGGATGGATTTGTAAATGTTCCTCTTATTATTTTTTATTATCATGTAAGTATACACACTTGTGCGAGGACACACACACACACACACACACACACAATCTCCACACAGTAAAAAAGTATCAAATTCGTAGACTTGAAAATTGTCAATATATCACTATTTAAAAGCCTATGACCAGAGTTCCTCAGTCTTGGTGGGGAAGCTAATAGTATCTATTTTTTTTAAGTGGACCTAACATTCCTGTCTAGTAGTTTTCTAAATATGCTTGTCTTAAATTGGTCAGTGCTCCTGCTCGCTTTAGTCAGAGGCTATTGTTTGTAGTGTTTCCTAGAAACATGAAACATGAAAGAATGAACATCTCCAGCCAGAGGTGCAGAAGAACTGAAATCTTGGTATGTAGATGTTAGCCTGACACCTCGACTGAAGTGTGAATTCATTGCGAGTTGTTTTTTAAACAAGTCCCATGTTTCTTTAATAATTTATACATTCTACACTGTTTTTTAATTTCATCAATTTTTAACCCCACCAAACAACCCAGCAGAAAATAGACATTGTGTTTCCTTTCATAGGGTAGTTTTTATTGTTGAATTTAAATCAAAATACATTAAGTTATAAAACCAAGAATTTTTCATTTTATTCTTTTTTATTCAACATTGGTGTTTTTCACCAATTACTTTCTTGAATCTCTGATTTGTCAGTTAATAGAGTTTACTTAGTATATTATGTGGAAACTTGCTTTAGGAGCTATTCTGATTTTAGAATATTTTTCCCTTTTTTAAAATTTAAGTTAGAAACAAGCTTGCTTCACGGGTCAATCCCAGCTTCCTCTCCCTCCCCTCCCCTTCTGCCCTCCCCAACAGGCTCCTCAGTCCCCCACCAATCTCCACTCCAATGCCCAGGGAGGGTGAGGCCATACATAGAGAATCTCCAGAGTCTGTCATTTAATCCAGGGTAGGGCCTAGGCCCTCCCACAAGAGTCCAGGCTGAGAGAGTATCCCCCATTGTGAGATGGGCAGCCAAAGTCCAATTATATGCCAGGGATAAATACTACCCAAGGCCCCATAGATTACTTAGGCCTCCTAACTGACACACATTCAGGGGTCTGTGTCAGTCCCATGCTGTCCACCCAGCCATCAATCAGGGATCCAAGAGCTCCCCTTTGTTCAGGTCAGCTGTTTCTGTGGATTAAACCAGCCCAGTCTTAACTCCTTTGCTCAACAGTTCTCCCATTCTGCCACTGGATTCCAGGAGTTCAGTTCAGTGTTTAGCTGTGGGTGTTTGCCTCTGCTTCCATCAGTTGTTAGATGAAGGTTCTGTTTCCCAGACTCTCTGGCAGTGGGATTGTATGCTGGCATTCCCCTGATCCATGTCTAAAATCTACATAAAGTGAGTACATACCATGTTTCTAATTTTGTGATTGGTACCCCACTTTTTAATGGGATCCTTTGGTGTTTTGGAGACTTGCTTCTCAAGTTCTTTGGAAAATTTGGAGATCAGCCCTCTGTCAGATGTGGGGTTAGTGAATATCTTTTCCCAATCTGTTGGTTGCCTTTTTGTCTTGCTGACTGTGTCCTTTGCCTTACAGAAGCTTCTCAGTTTTAGGAGGCCCCATTTATCAATTATCTTAGTGTCTGTGCTACTGGTGTTATGTTCAGGAAGCTGCCTCCTGTACCAATTTGTTCAAGGGTACCTCCCACTTTCTCTTCTGTCAGGTTCAGTGTGGCTGGATTTATGTTGAGGTCTTTGATCCATTTGGAGTTAAGTGTTGTGCATGGTGATAGACATGGATCTATCTGCAGTCTTCTACATGCCAGCCTCCAGTTATGCCAGCACCATTTGTTGAAGATGCTTTCTTTCTTCCATTGTATAATTTTAGCTTCTTTGTCAAAGATCAGGTGTTCATACATGCATGGGTTAATGGCAGGGTGTTCAACTCAATTCTATTGGTCTATGTGTCTATTTTTGTGCCAATGCCAATCTCTTTTCAGGACTATAGCTCTATTATACAGCTTGAAGTCAGTAATGGTGAGGCCTCCGGACATTGCCTTGATGAACAGGGTTGTTTTGGCTATCCTGGGTCTTTTGTTTTTCCATATGAAGTTGAGAATTGTTCTTTCAAGGTCTGTGAAGAATTGTGCTGGGATTTTGATAGGGATTGCATTGAACCTGTCAATTGCTTTTGGCAACATTGCCATTTTTACTATGTTTATCATACCTATCCAAGAGCATGGGAGATCTTTCCATTTTTCTGGTATCTTCATTAATTTCTTTCTTTAAAGACTCAAAGTTCTTGTGATACAGGTCTTTCACTTGTTTGGTTAGTGTTACCCAAAGGTATTTTATGTTGTTTGTGGCTATTGTAAAGGACCATGTTTCTCTAATTTCTTTCTCAGCCCTTTTGTCTTTTCTATAGTAGAGATACTGATTTTCTTGTATCTTGTATCCTGCCACTTTGCTGAAGGTATTTATCAGCTGTAGGAGTTCCCTGGTAGAGTTTTTTGGGTCACTTATATAAACTATCATATCATCTGCAAATAGTGAAAGTTTGACCTCTTCCTTTCCAATTTGTATCCCTTGATCTCCTTTTGTTTTCTTATTGCTCTAGCTAGAACTTCAAAGACAATATTGAAAAGATACGGAGAGAGTGGACAGCCTTGTCTTGTTCCTGATTTTAGAGGAATTGCGTTGAGTTTCTTTCCATTTAGTTTGATATTGGCTGTTGGTTTGCTATATATAACTTTTATTATGCTTAGTTAAGTTCCTGTTATTCCGGATCTCTCCAAGACATTTATCATGAAAGAGTGTTGGATTTTGTCAAAGGCTTTTTCAGCATCTAGTGAGATGATCATGTGATTTTTGTTTCTCAGCTTGTTTATATGGTGGATTACGTTGATGGATTTTCATATGTTGAACCATCCCTGCATCCCTGGAATGAAGCCTACTTGATCATGGTGGATGAGTTTTCTGATGTGTTCTTGGATCCGATTTGCCAATACTTTACTGAGTATTTTTGCATCAATGTTCAAGAAGTGATTTGTCAGAAGTTCTCTTTCTTAATTGTTTCTTTGTGTGGCTTGGGGATCAAGGTTATTGAAGCCTCATAGAAAGAGTTTGGCAAAGACTCTTCTGTTTCTATTTTGTGGAAAACTTTGTGGAGAATTGGTATAAGCTGTTCTTTGAATTTCTGGTAGAATTCTGCATTGTGGTCACCTGGACCTGGTCTTCTTTTGGTTGGGAGACATTTGATGACTGCTTCTATTTACTTAGGGGTTATAGGTCTATTTAAATTGCTTATATGTTCTTGATTTAATTTTGGCAAGTGATATCAATCTAGAAAATTGTCCATTTCCTTTAAATTTTCAAATTTTGTGGAGTACAGGTTTTCAAAGTATGACCTGATGATTCTCTGAATTTCCTCAGTGTCCGTTGTTATGACTCCCTTTACATTTCTGATTTTGTTAATTTGCATGTTCATACTATTTCATTTGGTAAATTTGGATAAAAGTTTGTCTATCTTGTTGATTTTCTCAAAGAACCAACTCTTTGTTACATTGATTCCTTGTATTGTTTCCCTAGTTTCTACTTTATTGATTTCAGCCCTTAATTTGATTATTTTCTGTCATGTATTCCTCCGGACTAAGTTTGCATCTTTGTGTTCTAGAGTTTTCAGTTGTGCTGTTAATTCTCTAGGGTGACTATTCTCCAGTTTCTTCATGTGCTATGAACTTCCCTCTTAGCACTGCTTTCAAAGTGTCCCATAAGTTTGGGTATGTTGTGTATTCATTCTCATTGAATTCTAGGAAGACTTTAATTTCTTTTTTTATTTCTTCATTGACCAGGAATGGTGCAATTGAGCATTATTCAATTTCCATGAGTTTGTAGGGTTTCTGCAGTTTGCATTGTTGTTGCATTCTAACTTTAACGCATGGTGGTCTGATAAGGTATATGGAGCTATTCCAATTTTTTTTTTTACCTATTGTGGTTTGATATGTTGTCACATATGTGGTCAATTTTTGAGAAAGTTCCATTTGTCACTGAGAAGAAGGTATATTCTTTTGTGTTTAGATGGAATATTCTATAGATGTCTGTTAATCCCAATTGGGTCATACCTGCTATTAGTTCTTTTGCTTCTTTGTTAAGTTTCTGTCTGGTGGTCCTGTCTAGTGGTGAGAGTGGAGTGTTAAAGTCTCCCAGTATAAATGTGTGAGGTTTTATGTATTATTTGAGTTTTAGTAATGTTTCTTTTACGAGCGTGGGTGCTTTTGTATTTGGGGCATAGATGTTCAGAATTGTTACTTAATCTTGGTGGATTTCTCCTGTGATGAGTATGAAATGACCGTCATCTCTTTTGATTGATTTTAGTTTAAACTCTAATTTGTTAGATATTAGGCTTGCTACCTCTGCTTGTTTTTTGGATCCGTTTGATTGGAAAATCTTTTCCCAACCTTTAACTCTGAGGTGATGTCTGTCTTTGAAGTTGAGGTGTGATTATTGCATGCAGCAGAAGGATGGAGTCTGTCTTCCAATCTATTCTGTTAGGCTGTGTCTTTTTATGGGAGAATTAAGACCATTAATATTGAGGGATATTAATGACCACTGATTGCTTATTTTTATTTGTTTTGGAGTTATTGCTGTTGTTGGAATTGTGTGTGGATTTTCACCCCTTTTTAATTTTAGAATATTACCAGTGTCTTATTTACTTGGATAAAGTAATCAAGTTAAAAAATTAGAGGTTCAGGAAATGGAAGAGATGGGTAAATAGACAAGGTGCTGGAGGGTTAAGCATGCGGACTGAGATCACCAGAAATCATGCTACAGTACAGGGTTGATGGTTTGACTCTATAAAACACAATACCACCATATGGGACTAAAGAGAAGTAAACAGAAACAGATTCTTGGGGCTCTCAGGCCACAAGCTCTTTTGGCAATGCTAAATACTGACTCCAAAAAAAGGCAAAACAGCCTTTATCTTCTTTGGCCTACACATACATGTGCTTCTATATGCTTTCACATACACAGTCATAAGTGAACACACACACAAACACACACACACTTGGATTTCGACCCAAAGATGCAGTGACATTTCAGCATATGAAAATCAGTAAATGTAGTCCACTAAATAAACAAACTGCAAGAAGAAAAACACATGATCATCTCATTAGATGCTGAAAAAGCCTTTGAAAAAAATCTAACACCCCTTCATGAGAAAAGTCTTAGAGAGATTAGGGATACAAGTGACATAACCAAACATAAAAAAGCAATTAACAGCAAGCCTATAGCCATCACCAAATTAAATACAGAGAAACTCAAAGAAATTCCACTAAAATCAAGAACAAGACATATCTACTCTATACATGTCTATTCAATATTGTACTTGAAGTTTTAGGTAGATCAATAAGATAACTGAAGTAGATCCAGGGAATACTTATTTCAAAGG